CAAAACAAAACACGCTCCGATTACAGGCCCACAGTCACTGCTGATGGGACTCGAGGAGCCAGGACTCACCCCTCCACGCTCTTGCTGCTGTGTCCGCCGTCTTTTAGGTACATGGAGAAATCGATCACCCCAACCTGCAGATGTTATAAGAAAAAAGGCAAAAAACGAATGACAGGAGCCATCGTCGTATGTAAAACAACTGAAAGTATGTGTGAAAAGTCTCCAAGCTCAGGTGGATATTAACAAAGAGCTGCAACATTCCTCACAGTCACTCTGGACTCCCAACCTAAGAGCTGAACATCCTGACTGACTACACCTGTGAGCTGCTGAAACAAGAACAACCAGGAGCTGCACTGCTCAACATTTTAATGTTTATGAAGCAGAGCGGGGATACAGGCCTCAGAGCCCAAAACACTGCGCCCCATTACATTGCTCTTAATTCAGTTGTGCTGCTGTGTAAAGGAAACATCGCTGTACTTCATATTTAAATGATCTGAACAGATGGTTTAACTCAGGGTGGGGAACTCCAGGCCTCGAGGGCCGGTGTCCTGCAGGTTTTAGATGTGTCCTTGATCCATCACAGCTGATTTAAATGTTAAAATTACCTCTTCAACATTTCCTAAAGTTCTCCAGAAGCCTGGTGATGAACTAATCATGTGATTCAGGCGTGTTGACCCAGGGTGAGATCTAAAACCTGCAGGAGACCTGGAGTTCCCCACGCCTGGTTTAACAAAAGGCTTTTGTTGGCATTTTTAAGGGAAAATACTGACTGTAGGAAAAAAAACGAAACAACAACTCATTAGTGAGAGTTAAAATATACAGATATAAAATTTGAATGCCAAACAAACTTAATTCAATAATTCTAAACAACCACACCACAGTGTAGACGCTGTTTTTGCCAAATCTGGACCAAACCCGGCCGACACAGACCAGATTTTTAAGACCGACACCATACAGGTGTTTGGTGATTTTAAAATGATATTGATTAAATATTAAAATGAAAACATAAACAGATCTCCCAAACATTTATTCGTTTACTCTTTCTAGCCAGTACACACCACATGCTTCAATCTTTGAAAGAGGCCACTTTAGACATTTCCAAGTAAAATGATGGATTATTTATTAAAAGGATTATTTTCCTTTAACATGAACTTGTATCATGTCAGGTTGTTGGCGTTATTGCAGAAAATAAAAAGCTATTTTACACATGTCATAAAGTCCATGTCTGGTCTGTGATCAGTGAAACTGAATTTGACGCGCTTGTTCATGTGGGCTGAGAGAAATCGATGCCACACCAGAGTGTGATGAACTTTCCTCTGCCTTACTTCTCATTTAGTTTGAGCTGCTGTAAGTGGAGTTGGAGGTGAAGGTGAAAGCAGACTAACCTGCGAGTCCAAGTCCTCTCCCTTCATACACAGATTGGCATCGATGACATTTAATCCAACCAGAAGCCCGGCGATGACGGCGCCTTCCTCCTCCATCATCAACGCGTTTGGCTCGTAAAATTCACTACAGAGAAGAGACAGA